CCAGTAGTGCCTTCTTTGTCCTGGTATAACTGTGGACAGAATAGAGCATTAAGAGAAATATAGGGGAGAGAGAAGCTAAAATTGACTAAATACAGTCATGTATCATCCAAATCTTCTCTAACTCTAAACTGCTTGGATTTTGGTGAGGTAAAGCTTGAGCCCCGTCACAGTACAGAAACCCAATGAGGAGTATTCATCCTATTCTGAGCTTAAAAGCCCCCGACAAACACCTTCAAATTCCAAAATTTCACATGGATGGAATACGCAAGGTCCGTAATTGCCTGTCTAAGACAAGGGGATAACCTGGCATCCGAAAACATCCAAGGTATCCATCTGCATATTCCTATTCATCCAGCTCATCACTTTCTGCGCTTTACAGTTTGTCATTTCCAGTTTGTCGCATGGCCTTTTGGCCTATTCTCCACACTGGGGATATTCATAAAGGTCCTAGAACCTCTTCTTGTCCTGAGAATTTAGGGCATCCAGGTCGTGAGTTATCTGGACAACCCTCTCCTGAAGGACTCCTCTCTCTCCCAGTTGTCTGCATTCATCCATAGGACGTTTGAGATGCTCCTGACTTTTTGGCTGAGTGATTAATTTTCAAAAATCTGCTCTCCAGTCTTCCCTTTGACTGGAATACTTGGGTCTAGTCCTGGACACATTCCAAGGAAAGTTCTTTCTTCTGGAGAAGAAAATTCTGTCTCCCAGGCCAAAAAGACATTCCACAATGAGATTCTCAATGAGATTTCAAGGCTTCATAGTAGCCTGTTCTGGGGATCTACCAATTGCCCAATTTCATTCACAACCTCTCCAGCACATCGTCTAGTGAACCTGGAACAAGCATGCTCCTTCACTCAACCCACCTGTGCTCCTATCCAGCTAAAGCAAGGAATTCCCTAACTTGGTGTATTGCCAACCCAGCCTTAACAGTAAGGAGTCTTTCCTTCACCACTGGAAAGTGATAACAGATGCCAGCCTTTCAAGCTAAGAAGGAACATTTCTGTCCCTCATGATCCAGGGAACATGGTCACCAAGCTCCCTATCAACATCCTGGAGCTCAGAGTACTGTGAATGGCTGTGCAACACTGGACCCCCCTTCTGCAAGGACACCCAATCAGGGTACAGTCAGACAGTTGGCTGTGACCTACATTAACCATTCAACCTGATATGTCAGAGATTGGTGGCCCTGGATGTAGGCATCTTGGCCTGCAGATACAACAAGCTACCACTGTGGCCTGGACCAAGGGCCCTCTAGCACTGGCATCAGATGCCTTGATAATCCCTTGGTCTCGTTTCAGGCTAATCTGTGCCTTTCCCCTAGTGCAAATTCTGCCCAGTCTGCACCACAAAATAGAGCAGTAAAAGAAGACCGTGATTTTCATTGCACCAAACTGGCCCAGAAGAACCTGGTACACAGACATACTCAGACTAGTAGATGACCTATGACCAGACCTGCTGTCTGAGTCCTCTGTTCCATCCTGCTTCGTATTTTCTGGCTTTAATGGCATAACTGTTGAAGCCCAGGTCTTAGGAGACAGAGGGCCTCTGAATCTGTCCTTCCTACCTTGCTAACAGCAAGAAAAGCCACTTGTAGAAAGATCTGTTTATTGTACATGAAAATCCATCTGTGCCTGGTGTGAACAAAGGCAATTCCAGAGATTAATTTGTGCTTTGTATTCTGGCTTTCTTACATTCGGGTCTTGACCAGAGCTTGGCCTTAGGCCCTCTGAAAGGTCCGGTTTTGCTCTTGTCCATTCTTTTTCAAAAACCCTTGGTATTGGTCTCCCTTGTTACAACTTGAATAAAGGTTTTAACAAGTAGTTTTATACATGTAAATTAAAACACTGGCAGCTAGAGGGGATGAAGAAGAATTCTACTCATGGATACGCACACCACTTGTATTTGTACATTTATTTATTTATCGAGTTTATATAGCGCCAAAGGGTTTGCTCAGCGCTGTACAATAGAGGGGGGACAATACATGAAACAGAACAGTAGCATCAAACAGTACACAAGGGGTAAGAGGGCCCTACTCTTTCGAGCTTACAATCTAGGAGGGAGGGGGTAGAGGCACAGGAGGAAACGGCTGTGGGGGATGGAGTGGTAGGAGGAGGGAAGGGCAGCGGCTGTTAGGTGAGGGTGGGGTAGGCTTCCCTGAAGAGGTGGGTTTTCAGGGAGCGCCTGAAGGTGAGGAGGGAAGGTGACAGTCTGATGGATTGGGGTAGTGAGTTCCAGAGGATGGGGGAGGACCTGGAGAAGTCTTGCAGTCGTGCGTGGGAGGAGGAGACCAGGGAGCAAGATAGGAGGTCCTGTGAAGAGCGAAGGGTACGGGTAGGGTGGTACCTGGGAATCAGGTCGGTGAGGTAGTTAGGGGCAGTGTTGTGAATGGCCTTATAGGTCAGGGTGAGCAATTTGAATTTAATGCGTTGGGCAATGGGGAGCCAGTGGAGGGAGAGGCAGAGGGGGGTGGCAGAGGTGGAGCGGCTGGTGAGGTGGATGAGTCTGGCCGCTGAGTTCAGGATGGTCTGAAGCGGGGAGAGCCTGCACTGGGGTAGGCCGGTGAGGAGGGAGTTGCAGTAGTCCAGGCGCTTAGGCGATCAAAGACCAAGCGCTCAAGGAGCTTGGAAGTGAGTGGCAGCAGGGAAATTGGTCTGGGGTTGTTGAGGTCAGTGGGGTCCAGGGAGGGCTTTTTGAGTATGGGGGTGATGTGCGCATGTTTTAGGGGGGAGGGGAAGACGCCAGTAGAGAGGGAGAGATTAAAGATGTGGGTAAGGGAGCGGATGAGGGAAGAGGGGGGTGACCGGAGGAGTTGAGAGGGGATAGGGTCCAGGGGGCAGGTAGTGAGGCGGGCTTCTGAGAAGACTCTGCTGACTTCCTCAGTGGTAGTAGGGCTGAAGGAGTGCAGTGATGGGGGGGTTACGGTAGGCAGGGCCTTGGGTTTGGTGGGGGGCAGTGCCGTTGCGAGGTCAGAGGAGGGGAGAGATGAGGGGGTGATGGAAGGGGGGAGGCTAGATGGGGAGGTAGATTGCAAGTTGACTATGTCCTTGGGGATTGCGTCAATCTTGTTGTGGAGATGAGTGGCAATCTCGTGGGCGGTAAGTTAGGTACTGAGTGGAGGAGGGGGGGGAGAGAGCAGGGAGTTGAAGGTGGAGAAGAGTCGGCGAGGGCAGGTGGAGAGGGTGTTAATCAGGTTAACAAAGTAGGCCTGCTTGGCGGCGTGGAGGGAGGAGGTGTAGGTGAGGAAGGCAGATTGCAACATGCAACATAACTTGCAATGGTTCTTTACTCAGGATCTTTTTTGCCAGGAAGATCCAGTATATAGACATCAGTAAATTATTTTGTCAATGTAGAGACCTAAGGCTAAAGTCATACTATTCTGTGGTGAAATCTGGTAATGCACACATTTTGGTGTGAATGTTCCCATATAGTTACTCTTTCTGTTTCACACTAACTTTCATAGCATAGGTATGAACCAGCCATGTAGGATTGGATGTCTTCAAATGCATTTTCATACATGAATTTTACTGCATCAAAACAGACAAGGGTGTATAGGCCCTATAGCTTATGTCCAGCATACCAATCTCTCTACTACCGCTCTCTGACATCTGGCAAAAAAACTTTATGTATTTTTTTTGTTTTTTGCCTAAAGCTGTAGTCGTGTGACGTATGGGTCCCGAGGACCTATTGGTTGTCCAGTAGGAGGATCCTCTCAGAATCCAGTAGAGATATCTGAAGGGGTGAGGTCACCACAAGGGGACTGTTGAGGACTGGCTGGCACAGGCACATCTGCAACACTAGGTTAACCACTTGCCCTCGAGGATTTACCCCACTTCCTGACCATTTTTTGCGATACGGAGCTGCATTACTTTAACAATTGCGTGGTTATGCAGCGCTGTACATAAATTACATTTTACATTTTTTTTTCCCCTACTAATAAATTTTACTTTTGGTGATATTTGATCAACGCTACGTTTTTATTTTTTGCTCTATAAACAAAAGAAGACCGTCAATTTTGGCAAAAAATTTTTTGACTTTTAAAAAAAAAAAAAAAAAAATTTACTGCATATGTTTTATAGCAAAAATACAATGTCTTCATAAATTTAGGCCAAAATGTATTCTGCTACACGTCTTTTGCTAAAAAAAAATTCCAGTATGTCAATTATTGGTTTACGGGAATGTTATAGCATCTACAAATGGCGGTGTGTGTATATATACTGGAATTTTTTTTTTTTTTTTTTTTTTTAGTAGTAATGGCGGCGATCAGCGACTTGTTGTGGGGCTGCGGCAGGCATTCTGACACTAGGTGGGAACTAACTGCCACTGACATCCCCAGTCACACTTATACAGTGATCAGTGCTAATAAAAAGCACGGTCACTGTGCTAATGACACTGGGCAGGAAGGGGTTAACATCTGGGGCGATCAAAGGGTTAACAGTGTGCTGTGTTGTTTTACATAGTGTGCTGTGTGTGCTTTACTATGTAAACGTGCTGCTTTGTATTGCTCTGCTGTGCAGGGGAGAGATCTGTGTTTACACACAGACCTCTCCCCTGTCAGTTCTGCCGATGATCACCGAGTCCCGGCTGAGAATCGTCGTCCGGGACCCGGTGATTGACATGCCTAGGAGCCAATAGCGGTGCGGTTAGGGAGCACGCGCGATCCCCCTACCCAGAAATGCAAATCACGCATATATACGTGATTTTGCGCATCCTTGCTGGCCTGTAGCAGTACTTCTGCTTTAGGGCGGTCGGCAAGCGGTTAGAGGTCCACCACATGCTGAAAAGGCACTGGTGCGTGACCCGGATGATGGATGGTAAGACAATAGGGTATTCCTATTACTTTGTAGAGCTTTTCTCTCACTTTCGGTTGTGTCTACAGGACAGGGAGTAAAGACCATTCTTTCCAATGATACACAAAGGGAACTAACATTTTACTATGCCAATTTCCTTTGGTCATTTTCTTGTTAAAAACTTAAGCCTGTTTTTCTTTATTCTTTTACCAGAAACACTACTCTTGTAAAGCCTTTAAAGGGACGGAAGATGGGCTCTAAGGTAAGGAAAGAAGAAATGTATAACCTAGGTGCCTCTGTGTATACAACCCTCATTCCTAAAAAGTTGGGATGCTGTGTAAAATGTACATAAAACAGAATGCAATGATTTTCAGATCTCATAAACCCATATTGTTTTTCACAATAGAAAACATATAAAATGCCTAAAGCGAGAATGTACAATTTTAAGAAAAAAATAAGGTAACGTTAAAATTGATGGCAGCATCACGTCTCAAAGTTGAGACAGGGCAACAAAAAGCTGGCAAAGTAAGTGGTACCAACAAGGAAGCGCCTTGAAAAGAACTTTTATTTTTATCACAGTACAAATCACAGAAATCTTTTCATAAACCATGGGTTACTTGTTACATTAAGGTGACTAGACAATGGCAAAAAGCTTTGCTTGGTTCACCCCCTAGTGTCCCCATATAATCTTGCTTTGTGAGACTCCAACAATTTGCTAGTTTCCTTGAGTGATGAATGTGGTCTCCTTGGAGAAAAATGTCCTCCTATACTTCTACCAGATTTATTTTCCTCCTTTTTGATTAACATGTCTATCAAAATTTGACTGTTGTCTGCCTTCATGGCTTACTAGCAGTTTCTGGTTTGGTGACCCTTAAGTACACCTTGGAAACTGTACATGGACCTAGCAACAAAGTGAAGCAGGCTTGCAATATTTACTGGAGGCACTGGATTCTACATTCATTACTCAACTTGGCAAGTGGTGCGAGTGCAGTTAGCTTCATAGTGCTATACTGGTCCAGGGCCATGGTTCATTCCTATGGCACCCAGAACGTGAGGACCCCTTTGAGGGTATGCCCACCATGATGGATGAAGCCTGGACTCTGAACAGGACCAGCAACATGGACAAGGTAACACATGGTTCCCATGTACCCTTATAGATGCTGGTTTCTGCTGTTATGTCTTCACAGCTCTTTATTTTACACCATATCCTTATTTTACAAAACATACTGCATTACTGTGCACACAAGTGGGCACAGGTGTAGGGAGACTTTGTGTTTTTCCCATACCTTTACTATCTTTCTATTTTGCTTCATGAGTAACATTATAACATTTAGCTATTCTAATTTTACAGTCGTCTTCCCCCCCTTACAACCTGAAGTTCCTCTCAGACATTCATTGGAACTTAGCACCCGTGTTGCTTCATCGCCCTCATTCTGGACATGCTGAGCCCCATTAATCCACGTCCTTTCTGTAGGTACTCTGCTGAGAAAGACCCGCACTTGGCAAAGGGGGAATTACAGGTGCATGAGAGTGGGAACACACGAGACAGTAATGAGTCCTCCACAGGTCCTGAGCAAACTCCAATCTGGTAACTGTTTCCTTGTTCCAGAGCATGGACTAACAGACTCTGCTCCAGCCCCCTGGATTGGGCTCTCTTGCAAGTTCGCAACATACAACCTGTCTAAGACAGAATTTACAGACACTAAGCTTGGCTTATTTCAGAGGCTGTCACTATGGACTGGGTGCTTTAAGCTGCAAGCACTCTTCTGCCAGAATTGCCTGACACGCTGACTGTGGTAGAAATCAAGGGTGATGCAAGTATTCTGGCAGAGGCTGTTTAAGATTTTTCACCACCAGAATTTATAAAAGTTATTCCCTTACCATCTTCCCATACCTTGGCTACTGTGGACTCTTAATCTTTGGATAGATATGCCTAGTGATGCACAGCTCATATACTGTATGTTCAGAAATGCATAAAAAAGCCTTCTGTAGAAAGCCCTTTCCCACGCTGGATCAGGCAAGTTGGAACACACGAGTTTCCTTATATAATGATTGGCAAACGTATGAGAGGTTATTTCTCAATCCTGAAAAGCCTTGTATACTGTGGATGGAGAAGTTAACAAAAAATGGTCCATCTTCACAGTAGACCCGACCATTCTTGCACTTGTATGCTCAGTCTACCATTTCTATTGTAGGTTCCCCCTCCTGTAAAGATTCAGTGGATAGGCATTCAGAGACTCTTGTAAAATTCCTCAGTATGCCTGCAGGCATACAGCCTATAGCTGGCCATTTTCACTTTTAGTAGTTGCCCAAGCTTTTGTGCATGCCTTTTGTGGCAGCAGCGATGGACAGGTTTAAAGAAGCAGCTCCTAAATGGCAGGACCGGATGAAACAGTGGCTTCGTCCAGATCCGGACCGTGGACCACATTTTAGTGATGCCCGCTCTACAGTGTAACTTTTTCACATTTAGCTCTAATATTCAACCACTCAGAGCTTAGCCTTTCGTGGATGGCCAGGTGTTACACCACACCACTGGTTGTACACCATCCCTTAGTGCCTGGAGCCCTTATAATGTACTTGATAAGGTTAATGAGGACTTTGTTACAGGATGGTCTACACCTGGGTTGCTGTGTATGCCTAAACATGCTTACCCTACATTCCACACCCTATTTATGAGTACACCACAGGGGAATTCCCTCACCCATAGCAATGGTAGAAACTGGACAGAAAGGGAGCCATGGAAACATCTCAAGCAAAACGTCGCTCTGCCAGGGGCCCATACAACATTCAACCTCAGAAAGACAATGCTTTCCTTGCATTAGAGCAGGACCAAATATCAACACCAGTCTTTGCATACGACTCTAGTGCCATTTCTGTCATTACCTGACAAAAGCAGAGTTTTTGGCATCTGTCACAATTCCTCTGACAACTAACAGCTTTAATACAGCTATTTCTGTTCAGGACTACAAAATTCCAATCCTTATCCAGCTACTCAGTCTCTACTTGAGTCAGATCCCAGTATGCCCAGCCTAGAACAGGTGGACACAAAAGGGAATGAAAAGGACACAGAAGCATTGTTAGAGGAGGTAGTGGAGGGTTTCTCCACCCCCACACTCCTTTTAACCACTTCAAGTCCAGGCCAATTTTCACTATCACACTTTGAGTGACAATTACACTGTACCCATATGAAACTTTTATCCTCTTTTGAGACAGAACTTTCTTTTGGTGGTATTTGATTTCCACTGGGGTTTTTATTTTTTGCTATATAAATGAAAAAATACCATTTTCATATTTGCATATGGCAGTGATCAGGACATTGGTATGGTCTATGGGGGTGTTTTTGTGCACACTGGGACAGGTGACTGGTTGTTTGCATGTTTTATGTATATACTGGGGTAGTGATTAGGGACACTGGAGTGGCTGGAACAGCAGTCTGTAAGTGTACAAGCAGCCGGACTGCAGGATTGCTTCTTTCTGCTCTCACACTGAGAGCAGAGAGAAGCGATCTTTACTTTGGATTTCCATTGTTTACTATTTGAGTGCTGTGATTGGTCACAGCAGTCACATGGTAAAACACCATGTGATCACCCGCACACAGCGGTAATGTGACCCGCTGTGTCTGGGCGACACACTGATCGTTGGGCTCTGGAGCGCGCACTCTGTGAGCCGCGCAAGAGCCATCGCTGCGTTATCCTGTATCGTCAAAGCTTCCTGTCCGCCAATTGCACATAGATGGCGGACAGGAAGCTTTGCCGAGGTTAAACAACTGCAGCTTTATGTAACATACTTGCTAATGTCAACATGCACACTTCTGCTGTGCGCAAAAGTCTGAGCATTGTCGCACATGATTCTCCTTCTTGCCATGCCCTACAAAGAGACCTGCAAATTTTATAAAGATATTCCCCATTCATGAACAAATAGAATAGGCAATCTATGATGACTATCACACCACAAAAGATTTTCACTCCTCCAAAAATGGAAAAGCTTTCACTTAAAAGCATTCTCTTTTTAGTAGTTGATCCTGTTGTCTCAGCCTTAAACAGACATCTCACTGTACCAAGTGAAGATGTTCCTTCAATGAGATTATGCACCTAGAAAGTTTTAAACCATGGTAAAGGCCCTTTACTCTTGCAGGCCCAACTCTGCAGCCAGCTCTTGCTGCAATTTCAGTATGTCATACTGGGCTAGGGCAACAACCAACCAGCCTTTACAATAGGAAAGTATCTCAGAGTGCCATTCTTTCAAGCTGGTGAGTAGTGTTTGTCCTTCACAGTCCAGAGAACATGGTCATCAGTGGAATCCAAGCTCCCCAATATCAATATCCTGGAGCTCGGAGCAATAAGAATGGCTTTACAACCCTGCCCCTCCCCCCTTCTGCAAGGACACTCAATCAGGGTGTAGTCTTGCAATTCTAAGGTCATGGCCCATATAAACCATCAAGTGGGTACCAGAATTCATGGAGCCTTGAAGGAAGCAAACTATATAATCTCATGGACAGAGACTCATTGTCATGCCAGTGATCGCTGCAGTCCACATCCCAGGAGTGAACAGATGGAAAGCAGTTTAATTCAGCCACCACTGTCTCGATCAAGGGGAATGGACCCTTCACCCAGACATCTGGGGTATCCAGGATGTGGACATTCTGGCCTCCAGATTCAACAACAGAAGACCGCTATTTGTGCCAAGACCAAGGGCCCTCTAGTTCTGCATTGGACGTCTTGCGAATCTCCTGGTCTCATTTAAGGCTAATCTGTGCCTTACCCAGCACAAATTCTACTTTTTGTGCTCCACAGGATAAAGCAAGAAAAGAAGCTTGTGTTTCTCATTGCACCAAGCTGGCTGAAAATATCCTGGTACACAGACATACTCAAACTACTAGGAGACTACGTCTGGCCTCCTCCCAACAGACCAGTCCTCCTGTCTCATGGCCCTCTGTTCCATTTTGCTTCTCATTCTCTGGCTTTAATGGTATGGTTGTTAAAGCCCAGGTCTTAAGGGACAGAGAGGTCTCTTAGTCTCTCCTTCCTATCTTGCTAAAAACAAGAAAAGCCACTTCCAGAAAGATCTACTATTGTACATGGAAATCCTTCTTTGCCTGATAGGAACACAAGCACTTCAGTATGAGAGATTACTTTGTGCCTCACATTCTGGCCTCCTACAATCTGGTGTGTACCAGAACTTTGCCTTAAGCCCACTGAAAAGACAGGTTTTTGTCCTTGTCCATTCTTTTTCAAAAACCTTTGGCTTTGCTCTCCCTTGTTGAAACCTTCAAGGTATATCTTGCATCAAGGCCTCCTTGCAGCACTTTCACTTCCTTGGGATCTCAACTTAATTCTTTCTGCCTTGCAGAAACTGCCATTTGAACCGATCAGGGATATGCCTTTAAATGACCTCTCCTGCAAAGTGCACTTTTTGGTTGCTATCATGTCTATCAGACATGTGTAAGTTTTGGCAGCTTTTGTAAGGAGCCGCTCCTCATTCTTCACAATGACGAAGCATTCTTCACTCAAGACCATCCTTTCTTCCTAAGGTGGTATCCATCTCCCACTCAATGTCCTCCATTTCCTGGATGTTGATCAGAACCTGAAGAGTCTTACCTCAAAGCAACAGCTTCGAGCAGGAAGACAGATTGCCTATTTGTTCTATCTTTTGGATCTAGCAAGGGAAATCCTGCTTCCAAGTCCAACATTGCTTGATGGATAAGATAAATCTATTCCTGTGCCTTTACGCACCCACTTCACCAGATGAGTGGGAGTTTTATGGGCATTCCAGCACCAGGCCTCTGTAGCCTGGCTTTTTAAGGTTGACACCTGGTCCTCTGTTCATGCCTTTTCACAGTTCTACGAGGTGAATATCCAATCTTCTACGGATGCAGCTTTCAGCCGCAGGGTTCTTACAGGCACTCTAAAGTTCAGTCTGTTGACCCTTGTTTTTTGGGCTTGTTGGCATAGTTTTGTTTGCCTAGTTGTTGCCCACCAATCTCATTCATTGCCTGGGGACGTTCCCTCCGTTTAATGACTGTACGATTAAAATAAGAGGAAATTTGACTTGCTTGTAAATTCTGTATCTTTTGAGTACAATACAGGACACATTCCACCCTCCATTCTATTCCTTGGTTACTCTGCATTATTTGCAACAAAACTGAGGACTCAGAGTGAATTAGGGTTTAGGGGAGGTGTCCAGGGAGCGCCTCAAAAAGGTGTATTTAAATGCTTGCCAGTATCCAATCACCTGATGGTATGAGCCAATAACCCAGGGTCTCTGAATACTCAGCCTGTGTCCTGTATTGTTCTCCAAGATATGGAATTTACAGCTAAATCAAAATGCCTCTATTTTAGTGTTGGATAGATTAAGGGAGGATTATAACCCCTGGCAGTTTTTCTGCCACCTGCATCCGTTTTGGGGAGGTTTACCACCTCCACTTGTTCAAAAGCCACAGGAGGAAGTGAGAGGAAATCCCTCCAAAGTAAGGGAAACCTTGATTGTCACTAGGGTCATCAAAACTAGTGTCCCCATAGAAAGGTACCCCAGCTATTCTTGTTCTGGTGACTGCCCAATATTTGGGATTTTCTTTCACTCTCTGTGATAATACAGAGGACAAATGGAGAGGATGAATTTCCCTAATAGGGGCACAGCAATAAAAACAGATGTTCTAATCCCTTAAGTTGTATTTGAAACTCAATTGCTTTCCATACTCCCTTAAGAATTTTTACTTTTATTTTTCATGTGTCAGTGTCATTCCATTCTTATCTATCCCTGATCCATTCTATAAAAACATTTTTGTGACCTTGTCAGCCCTAATCAGTGGTGGTCATTTTTGTTTTTTCCTCTTATGCAGGTTCTCCTTTGAGACACCAAGGGGGTAGATTATTGCTCTCAGGTCCCAAGTTCCTAATCCCCCTCAAATTGAGGAGGTTGTTCCACAACCTAAAGCCTTTGCTACATTTTTCCTTGGTATGTGCTTTCTGGATGCAGCCCTCAAGCCTTGTCTTCAGCCCCAATGCACCGTACCCTACTCTTTCCACAGCTACAGATCGTCAGTAGTTCACCTTTTTTGTAGGGTGCCTATCCTGACCTTTTTTTTTTTTTTTTTTTTTTTTTTTTTAATTTTAGGTCTTGGTGCTGGACAACTTCATTTCCATTTTGGTATTGAGAGAGGTTGCTATTCCCCTGTTCTTAGGGTTCCTTAAAGTGGAGTTCCTTTAAACCTTTAAAAAAAAAAAAAAAAAACTGTAGCTGCTGACATTTTTTAAAATACAGCCACTTACCCATCCCTCGGTCCAGTGGTGTCTTCACCACTGCTGGTTACAGCGGCTGTCTTCTCTCCCTGGCGTGTGGGCACCCAGCTGTGACAGCTTGCGGCTTCACAGCTGGGTGCCCACTGCGTATGCGCGAGAAGCACTGCACTTTGTGAATGCCAGAATTTCTACTTTTGGGTGGAGCTCCGCTTTTAATGCCGCTTTCAGAACCCGCTTGCTCAGCGGGGGATCTCTCAGAGAAAGCGAATGACAGGTCTGTGTCTGCTCCTATGCAGACTCGTCAACACAATGGGGTTGATTTACTAAAGGCAAATAGGCTGTGCACTCCAAGGGCACTGAAAGTTTAGTTGCTCTAGATCTATGTGGAACATGCAAGAAAAAAAAAAAAACGCATGTTTGCTTGCACATGATTGGATGAAATAAATCAGCAGAGCTTCGCCTCATTTCAGAGCTACCCCTCAGGTATAAAGCAACTGCACTGAGTCCCCCCAATGTGTCCTCTACTGTACAGAGCTGCATTAGTTTTTTTTAGTTGTGTGTTGTGTTTTTTGTTTTGTTTTTTTGTTTTTTTAAGATTCTTTTTCTTTTCACCTGGTCATCCAGCCAGTAAACTTATTTTTCAACTTCCTTTAACAAACCAAGCTGTCCAGCAAATGTGACAGAGGGTTGAGACAAACCATTTTACCACTGACTAGTGCTTACAAGGGTCCGTTTTAATTCACTTGCATAAACATTTATCACAAAAGTTTAAAAAAAATGCTCCTGTAATTTTTTAAAAAGTGTTAGCTGGAGATTGGCTTTAATTTGTTAGTCAAGCCCATCTAAGTTTGCTAGTACATCTAACACTTCCTTCTCTCCAGTTTGACAATGGTGCTGTCCAAAGGAGTCACCATTGCTCCTCCATTCAGAGTGGAGACACCCTAAGGCCATATTCACAGAGGAGTTTGTGTGCAGGCAGGGACAGCCGTCATCAAGAATCAGTAGCTGTGTGCAAACAGGTGTAGCTGTCAGATTTGTATGCTGTACAGATCAATGGCAGGCACCATTGCTGTTTGCATTTAACTTCTCAGATGAGTATGAATACTGACCCTGGATGCAGCCAGTGTGTGTGCAGTCAAACTTTGCATAAATTCCACCCCTGGACTCACACTGGCTGCAGTTGATCTCTGCATTTTGACTCCTCTGAATACAGCAAACTTTCTGCATATAAACTCCTGTGTAAATGTATTCTTGGAATAGTATGTGGGCAATTTACATGGCACCACATCCCAGTTAACTAATACACAAAATACTGGAAAATTGACTAAAGATGCCACAAGGTACAAATTTATTTATTACAAAAATGTTTAAACAAGCTTATTCACATAGTACAACATTTAAAACACTGTGTTGCACAGATGTATAACAGGAAAGAGATGTAGCTCACTTCAATATTTAAAGATGCCCTTGATATTCCAGGCTAGGCGTTCCTAATACCGCCTGTATCTTTCCTGTTGTACATCTGTGCAACACATGGTTTTAAATGGTGTACCACTACATAAATGAAAATGCTTGTTTTTAATTTCTGTGATAATAAATGTGTACAATTTTAATCATGTTGAAGATCTTGTGGCTTTATTTTATCTATTTATTGTGAGTATGCCATTAACAAGAACAATGGCTGCAACATTTGGCCAAGTACTTGTTGCACCTTTTAAACTCCCATTTCCAATATTTTGCCTTGTATGAATGTAGCCTAAGATAGGAGGTGTATTACTGGCAGGTCTTCAGCTGAAGATAAAGGGAAAATGCTAAAGAAAACAAATTCAGCAACAACATTTAAAAATTGTAAGCTGCAATATATTTTATTCTTGTTCTTGGCTTTAAAACCACTTTAAGCTGAGTGATCCAGGTATGATTGGCTAGCTATAGTACCCTTATCAGAAAAGGAGATTTGAATATATGTTGGGTAGAAAATGTCCTAAAAATCTTGCATTTTTGTAAGAGTCTTGCTAGGACATTTTTACAAGCTTTTGTATAAAAATTGCTGAAAGAATAGAGTTTACTTCAGGTAGGTCAGATTGCGGTTTATGGGTCACATGAGCTCCTTTTCTACAACCCATAGGGTTGTACAGTAATTGTTCAGATAAATGGCTCAGGAAATGCTTGATGGCCCCTTTCCATTGGGATGAAATATGGTAAGTTACAATATTTTCTATGTTACTTTCTGAAGTTCTGGAATTAAGTAGGTAAGGCCCTCAATAGACATATTGGCCCCCTTGAAGACTTGGTACTCTCAATGTGGCACACTGTTCCACTGAAGTGTTACTTGCTTGTTATAAAGGAAACCGAGAAATCAGAGAATTTGCATTTTAGATTTGTCTGAGCAGTATTTGAGGTATCCTAAGACCTCACATAAGTCGCATGTACTCAGAAATGATACTCTTGGGCAGACTCCAGTTCAGTCGCTCACTAGCATACACTCCAGGTCCAAGATTTTACCCTAGCCATACCCTGCCAACTTAATTTCTGGATTATTACAGAGGGGCACTTCTTCATCACGCTATTGATAATATAATATCCGACTCTTACTTGATGTGTGTTTGTCTACATATAGGTGAATGGAGATGATATGTTCTCAGTAGGGGGAGAAGATGAGGAGTCTCTTTTACATCGTAAGAACCACACAGCAAATGAACGAAAGCGCAGAAATGAGATGAGGGATCTTTTCGAGGAGCTAAAGAATGCTCTTGGCCTTCACAACCTTCCAAAAGTTTCAAAGAGCTATATTCTTAAAAAGGTTTGTCCTGACTTTGTTTATTAAACTGACACTGTCAAATAAGAAGCACAGGAGCCTCCATTTCTGGTCGTCTTTAGAAACTGCATGATGCCCGAGTCTGTCTGACTTAAGTTCTGCTGACTCAGACCTGGAACAAAAACCTTATGTAAATGGTGTCTGAATTCCTTATAAGTATACTTGCTCCAGGCCAGCTACTCAGAGGACATTGAAAAGTATCAACATTATACGTGTGACAATAGCATTTCAAATAGGAGAGATCAACATTAGAAGCCTCCATTATGCCTGCATGGCAGTTTCCTTTTAAACATCAGTAATTTAGCAGCATGATGTATGTGCAAAGCTTTGCTTACATTTTGTCATTCTTACAGGCAATTGAAGAAATTGAGGGACTAACAGATGCAGCAGATAGCCTCATAAGACAGAAGACCTTGATGTCTCAGAAACAGAGTCAGTTGATTAAGAAAGTGTCAAATCTCTCAGGTTGGTGGAATATAATGAAAACCCATATTTGGGTAGATGATCAGCACCGCATGTGAAATTAAAACATAGGGACACTTCTGTTCCATGATTGGAGGTTGTCACATGACTTTGAAAGTCATCATCTTTATCTGTTTATAACCACTTCAACTCCGGAAGATTTTACCTCCGCTTCATGACCAGGCCATTTTTTGTGAAACGGCGCTGCGTTACTTTAACTGACAGTTGCGTGGTCATGGAGCGCTGTACATTAATTTACATTCAGGGATATTTGATCATCTCTGCGTTTTTTTTATTTTTTGCACTATAAACAGACTGGCAATTTTGAAAAAAGTTTTGCTATAAAACATATCCAATTAAAAAAAAAAAATTCTTCATAAATTTAGCCGAAAATGTATTTTGCTACATGATTTTGCTTTTTAAAAAAATCCCAATAAGTGTATTGGTTTACATGAAAGTTATAGCGTCTACAAGTGGCGGTGTATATACTGGGATTTTTATTTATTTTATACTAGTAATGGCTACGATCAGCGACTTATAGCAGGACTTGTGGCGTACATTCTGACACTGACACTGGGTGGGAACGAACTGCCACTGACATCTCCAGTGACACTAATACAATTATCAGTGCTAATAAAATGCACTGACACTGTACTAATGGCACTGGGTAGGAAGGAGTTAACATCTGGGGCAATCAAAGGGTTAACAGTTTATGCTTGCTGTGTAAATTGTGTGCTGTCTTACTAGGGAGACATGCTGCTTTCTATCTCTGTTGTGTAGGGAGAAAGCAGCACATCCATGCTGACAGGAGAGAGATCTGTTTACACACAGATCTCTCCCCTCTCAGCTTCTCTGCCGATCACGAGTCCCGGCCGGGACCCGGTGATTGACATCCTCGGGAGCCAATGACAGCGCGGGTAGTGCAGCCTGTATGCGCCCCCTACCCGGAAGTGCAAAATCGCCTATATTTACATGATTTTACACAGCGCGGCTGCCCTATAGCAGTACATCTATGGGTGCGATCTTGAAGTGGTTAACGACATTTGATTTAATAGCACTTCGCTGACTTCAGAGTCCTGAAGCCACTGGAGTGCTAAGCATACTTGTAAAGCTCATCACTGTCATTTGCTATAATGTCACTTTGATTTCCATTTCCACAGGAAAACCAAAGGAAGTTGTGCTGAAGAAACTGGAATACTTGCATGCAAAGCAGAGTGCTTTAGAAGCAGAGAGTAAAAAGAGCACTTTAGAAGCAAAGAGTACTGTAGAAGTGGAAAGTATAAAGAGTACTTTAGTAGCGGAGAGTATAAACAGTACTGTAGGAGCAGAGAGTATAAAGAGTACTTTAGAAGTAGAGAGTAAGAAGAAAGACTTTGAGGAAGATCGCACTCCTAAAGCATCTGTGAACAAACCTCCTCCACCTTTAAAACTGGAGAATAAAGCTAATGATGAATCTTCATGTAGCAAAGCTAAGAAGCCAATCATACTTTCAAGGAATCATGTGATGTTTTCAGCGGGGAGTAAGTACAAATTACCTTTCCCTTGCTTAGGTTCACGCTAGTGCTGCTGCATAGTTGTACATTTTTCAGTGCATTTTTACTCATGTTTTTAAAGTGTTTTCATGCTTCCTGCAATTTTTTTTCTGTAGGAGGAGATTGGTTGTTAAATGCAAAGCCCTGTCAATAATACGTGTGCATGTGTTTTTAATGCTCTCCCGTTGAAGCTTATGGAGACAGAAACTTGCTATGCTGCACCTTTTCAAAAATCACACTGCATCATGTTGCATTAATGTTAACAAGCACTGTAGAGAATAATGTGATTTCCATTGTCGTGGATTGCAGCACAATAGCGGATGAAGGGGAAATTGCACTAGCGTCAGTGGGGCCTTATTCTTTTCAGGAGCACATATCGCTTTAAAGGATAAGTTCACCTTTTAACAAAAAATTATAAATGCACTTTTTTTTTTGCAGGTAAAATAAAATGTGCATTTTAATATTTTTTTTTGTTTCTGGTGCCTCTAAAGCATTGCACAGGTGATCAACAGATCACTGGTGCCATGCAGGTCTCCTGTAGACCTGTCAGTGTATCTGCTTGCTCGTACATCTCATATGGGCAAGCAGATACTTGGACAGGAAGGCTCAATGAACTACCGTGGCAGTTTGAGAACTATAAACTGACTGTTGCAAATGCTGTCAAAAATTGTTGTTTTCCCACAGAAATACTGTGAATTTCTGTAAACGAGTGACACGGCCAGATGGGCAGAGCCCCACACGACCAAATTTTTTCTTTTTTAATTGACTGTTAGCAGGGGGATGAGATCCCCCCCCCCCCCCCCCCCCCCCATTTGTAACATGCTACATGTTACACACTGAATATGGGTGTAACATGTTATGAAAGGTGAGCTTATACTTTAATGATTTCAGAGACAATTGGAGTTGTTTTCTTTTTCTGTAAAGTTTGTTTGTCTAGCGTTTGACAATGCATGTACACATTTTAACTGGTTGCCGCCCAGCCACAGTGTTTTTACTGTGGCAGGGCGGCACCTCTGCGCAGAGCGTCGTCTTTTAACGTCGCTCTGCAAAACCAGGAGGGGGCACGAGCGTGCCCTACCCGTCCCGCCGATCGCGGCAGCGGGTGTCCATCACCGGGTCCCGGCGGGTCATTACAGGCAGTCACTGACAGGGAGCACGGCTGCAGTGGTTACACTGCAAGTCTGCTCTCTGTCAGTTCAGAGCACACCTGAGAGAAGAGTTTATCTCAGGATCAGCGTGTTCCCGTGAAGTACACCCCCCCCCCGCCCCCTAGTAAAACACTCCCCTCACACAGTTAACCCTTTCATTACCCAAAAAAAGTTAACCCCTTCCTCCCCAGTGCCATTAGTACAGTGTCACTGTTTTGTTTTGTTTTTTTTTGTTTTTTTTTGCTGCTCTGATCACTGTATTGGTGTCACTGGGGATGTCAGTGACCCCAAGTCAGTTCCCCCCCAGTGTCAAAAGTCCCGCCATAAGTCGCTGATCACCGCCATAAGTCGCTGATTGCCACCATTATTAGTATAATAAAAAAAAAAAAAAAATCCCAGTATCTTTCCTGCCATTTGTAGACGCTATAACTTTCACGTAAACCAATTAATTTACATGTATTGGGATTTTTTCTAGCAAAGACATGTCGAAGAATACATTTTGGCAGAAATTTATTACTAAATTTGTTTTTTACATTTTTTTTACTGGACATGTTCTATAGCAAAAAGTCCAAAATATTGTTTGTTTTTTTTTTTTGGTTTTTTTTCTCAAAATTGTCAGCCTTTTTTCTTTTTTTTTTTTTTTTTTTTTTTTTTTTATAGCGCAAAAAATAAAAAAACGCACAGGCAATCAAATACCACCGAAAGAAAGCTCAATTGGTGGGAAAAAAAGGATGTAAATTTAATTTGGGTGCAGTGTTGTTGCATGACCGCGCAATTGTCGGTTAAAGTAACAGCTGCAGGCATCATCCTGGAATCGTTTTTTTTCAGCCGGCGATCGGCTTTCATATAAAAGCAATCCTAGTGGCTAATTAGCTGCAAGATTGCTTTTACAAGCAGTGGGAGATGACGCCCCCTCCTCCCCTGCTGCCTTCCACTTCCTTCTCGGACAGTCCCGTGCCATCGGGGGAACCTGAGAATGCAGCCGGTGTTTCTGCCAGCTGACCATAGAGCTGATTGGAGACCAGAATGGTGCCAATCATCTCTCTAGCCTAAGAATTCGGAAGCTACGAGCATTTCATCACTTCAGTTTCACAGGATATAAAGAGCACCATTTGTAAATTGGGAAAGCATCTGATCACACCGATTTTGGTTTGATTAGATAATGTAAGGGCAGAGGAGATATCTAGAGTCTAATAGATCCCAGATTTCTCAAAAAAGAATATATGACAATGCCCATTGAAGTTGTAGGGGATATTTGCATTCCCTGTTATAGCATTAAAAGTGATAAAGAAAAGAATGAAAGGTACAATGTAAAAATAATTAAAAAATAATCAAAATAACTAAAAAAAAAAAAATCGCCCCTCCCATGCGCGCACACCTGTGTGCACAAGCCTTGACCCTGTACCGGTATGTAAACCGTGGTTTCACCATGCATGTGAGGTATTGGATTTGGGGTCCTGTACTTGGCTAGACTGCCAAAAAGTCTCACACACGTGGTATCCCCATACTTGAGAGAAGTAGCAGAATGTATTTTGGGGTGTAATTCCACATATACCCATGGCTCGTGCGAGAAATAAATCATTTTAAATGACCACTTAAAAAAAAAAAAAGGTTTTTGTCATTTTTCCAGAAACTCGTGGAAAAAAATAAATCTTCCATGGACTCAATATGCCTCTCAGCAGATAGCTAAGGGTGTCTACTTTCCGAAAAGGGGTCATTTGGGGGTATTTGTACTATCCTGGTATTCTAGCACCTCAAGAAATGTGATGGGCAGTCAGAAAGTAAAACTGTGTAAATTCCATTGTCTATACCATAATTTGTAGACGCTATAACTTTCACAGAAAGCAATCAATATACACTTACTGGGATTTTTTTTTACCAAAAACATGTAGCAGAATACATTTTGGCCTAAATTTATAACTGACTTTGAGTTTACTATATATTTTTTATAGCTGAAAGTAAAAAAAATATTGTTTTTCTTAAATTTTTGGTCTTTTTTTTTTTTTTTTTGTTTATAGCGTGAAAAATAAGCGTACAGGTGATCAAATACCACCGAAAGAAAGCTCTATTTGTGTGAAAAAAAGGACGTAAATTTCGTTTGGGTGCAGCATTGCATGACCGCGCAATTATCAGTTGAATTAGTGCAGCGCGGAGTAGCAAAAAGAGACCTGGTCGTTAAGGGGGGTAAATCCTCAGGAGGGCAAGTGGTTAATCTTAAAGGCTCAAAGCAGAACATCAAGCAAAGAGTTAAAACTGTTTAAAAATCATATGTTTGTTTTACCTACCCATATATTTGTCATTTTGTTTATCAAGTCTTGTTATTTAGTCCTCTTGCACGCTTTTGGGCATTCGGTCATTTTTCTTCACTGAGCAAAGGCCCTGTTCACACTTGAGCTTTTTCTGCTTAGTACTACAAGCTACAAAATGCTTAACATGCAAATACCTATTGTTTTCAGTAGCCCTTGTTCACATCTGAGTGCCCTGTCGCTTGTAGCAAAATTCCTGTAGCTCAAAAACGTACAGCTACTTTTTGGGCAGAATTGAATATTTTTGTCCTCATACACTTCAATGGAAACGCCTGAAAAACGTGACATGAGCCCTTTTCTAGCGTTTTTTTCAAGTGATTTGTCATGCGTAATCTCCAGTACATTTTAGTTGTATAAAACCTAATGGGTTTAGTTAAATTGTAATGCAATATGGAGTAAAAAATCTATTCACATTCTTATTTATGACAGGTTTGAACATGCACTACAGACACAGCTTTAGCCGTTGTGATATATAATGTCTTTATAAATAAAATCAAGTTTCATGAACAAAAATATTGCTTTTTGACAGAAGTGCAACTTTAAAATATAATACCATTGCACATATTACTTCAACTTATTACCATTATTATTAAGAAAATAAATAAATGATTTTTTTTTTTCAGCAGCTTAGTAGATGCCCCCTACTTATTCTTATGAGAGTGCAGTGTTCATTTTTATTTCAAATTTCAATTTAGTTTGTCTTTTGACTAAAATTCCATTTTAGTTTTAGTACTATTTTAGTCAAGTAGAATAGTTTTAATTTAGTCGCCGAAAATATTTTTGGCAATGAAATTAACACTGGTGGGAACAAGTTAATCCGCAGTGTATCTTGTGTGCAATCTGTGCATGCATTAACCTGTGCCATGCCTCACATTTCAAACAAACTTCTGACGCAGGAATGTGATGATTTGATCTACTGTGTACAGGCCAGCAAATAACACCATGAAAATGTATGATCAATACACATCTTATATAGGTGAAAAACAAAAGGTGCAGGCAGGTAGGAAGGTTTATGCCTTTAAGTTTTTTTTTTTTTTTTTTTTGTTTTGTTTTTTTTTTTTTTTTTAGTGTTGCTTCATTTAGCAGGTCATAATAATTTTAATTTCAATAGTTTTTATTGAAGTTTTAATAACAAGACATTGTAGGTAAATACTGTTCAGTTAGAAATAATGCAGTACAGGAAAGTAAACAAAACAATATTTTCCCCACCATTTGGCTGGGGGCAATACTAGAATAGGTGGGGTTGGCATGAGAGGTATACTCAGTATATTCTGAACCATGTAAGGTTGTAGAAGAGATCTATAGGGGGTGGAGAACAAGGAGTAGGGAAATAGGGGAGGAGGGAAGGGTAAGTGCACCAGTCTAGGCAGATGGGTTAAGGTATTTTATAGTGAATTTATCAGAATTTTACGGAGCAGTTTGGGTTTTGTAACCATCGAGACCAATGGAGCTTAAATGTGTGATAGGTAGAATTGTTTAGGGCAGATCTTTTTTCCATATCGCATTGGAAGTTTTGATCTCTTATCAGTGAAGTAAGAGAAGGAGATTTAGTAGTGTTCCATAATTTAGTTATGTTTATTTTAGCTGCCGATAATGTGTGGATAATAATGGTACGGGAGTCTCGAGGGAAATAGTTGATTCCAATATGGAGGAGTGCTAGAGCAGCGTTTGGGGTTATTGGAGTTTTAGCTAATGTTGAGAGCATTTGGAAGACGCTGTTCCAGGTGATTTTAGTGATTTGCATGTCCATAGTGTATGGAGCGTTGATCCTATTTCTCCGCATTGTCTCCAACAGGAGGAGTGTTGTGGATAATATAGTGAAAGTTTAACGGGTGTAAGTACCATTGATGTAGTTTTTGTAGGTACGCTTCCCAATGAGAACTACATGGTGAGGCTCTATAGGTGATGGTGAAGGTTTTTTCCCACAAGTGTGAAGGTATTGACTGTAGGAGAGTTTTTTTTTCCAGTTAATTAAGGAGAAAGATTGTAGGGTGAATAGTGAGTCTACTATTAGTGTGTAAAAGGTAGAGCTACCTTTACCTGGATATATTGTTTTGTTAAAAAATTGGTATGCGGTGGTAGGAACTTTCATAAAATGAGGAATATTTATTGTTCGTAAGCAGTGAGCTATTCTCAGGTAGGTGAAGTATATTCGGTTGCGGTTAGATTAAATTTATTGTGGAGAGTCTGGAACGATTCCAAATTGTGATTTGTGTAGAGATCTTTTATGTAAGTTAGGCTGGATTTTTCCCATTGTAATAGAGTAAGGGAGGGAGTGACGAGGTGTAGTAGATTGATTGGGGTGGGTATGTGTTTGGTATTTTCAAATTTAGTAGTTGTATCCAAGCCTCTCTCCAAGCCTGGTACAACCTTTACAAGGGTGTTTAAGTAGGTATTTGGTTTGGGGTATTTGCGGTGTGAAGATTATGTTTTGGGGTAAAAGTGGGATCAATGGGAGTGTTTCCATGGTAGACCATAATGGTCATAATAATTTTACACTAAAAGTGTACAATAATAATTTTTTCTTTTGTTATAAAGTGCTCTTTTAAGTGACCTGGTTTTGTTTTTCAGCACAGAAGCCAGCTGTCATAACTACACCCAATTTACTAGTGGCAGCTTCAGGACAACTGGAAGCAGTGAAGAAAGCCAAGGGCGGACAGGTTACAGGAATTCCACCAACACTTGTGCCGGCTGATGTGAGGCCACCGCAGATGCCAACAGGTAACTTCAGTATACAACATTTCCAGAATAAAAAATGTATAAAATCGAGCGCTGGGTATAGAGCATTTTGTAGCTGCTAGCATCAAAGGTACCTCGAGAACCTCTACAGTAAATAGTATAGTATACTAGTAATAGTATTATAGTATCCTATAATACAACGTTTCCAGTTTGAATTGGTTGTCCTAAAGATACAAGATGTGACAATTAGAAACTAGACTACATGGAGGACCCAAAAATTACATCTAGTCAAACTTAACTAAATCTGACATATGAGGTGGAAGTAACTGATTAGGTAGAAAAAGTACTTAAAGTAGTATTACATCCCTTACCTTAATGCGCTAAAATCAAGCAGTGCAACATTCCTCCTATATTTTTGGCTTTTATGTGTGCCTAAAACATTTACATACACTTGTTGGACACTGTATTAGGTACACCTTGCTAGTACCGGGTTGGGCCCCTTTTTGCTTTCAGAACTGCCTTAATTCTTTGTGGAATAGATTCAACAAGATGTTGGAAACATTCCTCAGATTTTGGTCCATATTGACATGAGTTACTGTTGCCATTCTATCATCTTGAACCAGTCTGCCCTTTCTCCTCTGACCTCCAAGCATTTTCTTCCATACAACTGCCGCTCACTGCTTTTTTTTTTTTTTTTTTTTTCTGGACCTTTCCCTGCAAACTCTAGAGATGGTTGCGTGTGAAAATCCCAGTAGATCAGCAGTTTGTGAAATACTCAGACCAGCCAGTCTGGCACCAACAACCATGCCACGTTCAAAGTCACTTCTATCCCCTTTCTTCCCCATTCTGATGGTCGGTTTGAACTTCAAGTCGTCTTCAGCACACCTAGATATCGAAGTGCATTGAGCTGCCATGTGATTGGCTGATTAGCAATTTGTGTTCCCAAGAAATTGAACAGGTGTACCTAATAAAGTGGTCAGTGAGTGTACATCACTATTAATCACCACTGGCTCTAGGTCCCACAGTGCCGCATCCCAGAACTACTGGGTAGAGGAGTGTGCTTCCTGTGCCTTTCACATGCACAGTGCATTAGTCACAGCACAGGTTCCAGCATCTATGAATTGCTGTCTTATGCAGGCCATAGATGGGTCAAAAATCGGCCGATTTTTCGGCCGAAAATAAAATCGGCCGATTTTCGGATTGTTAGTGGGCGATTTGGTCGGCCGTTTTTCGGTATTTTGGCCGTTTTTTTTTTTTTCGGTAAAGTTGGAAAAAAATCGGCCGATTTTCGCGGCAATTAGTGGGCAAATCGGCCGATTTTTTTACCGATAAAAAATCTGCGCATGAGCAGTGACCTGCAAGAGGAAGACAAAAAGAAGAAGAGGATGAGGATGAAGAAGAGGATGAGGATGAAGAAGAGGATGAGGATGAAGAAGAGGATGAGGATGAAGAAGAGGATGAGGATGAAGAAGAGGATGAGGATGAAGAAGAGGATGAGGATGAAGAAGAGGATGAGGAAGAAGAAGAGGATGAGGAAGAAGAAGAAGAATTCCAGTCCAGTGCAGAGAGCTCCGCTATTTCTGACAGTTCTCTGACAGTTCCTTGACATTTACAGCGTTTAAAACATTGTATCTATTTGTTTCCGAATAAAAACATCTGTATCCTAAATGGAAACAAATAGATACATTGTTGCAACTTCTATAAATGTCAAGGAACTGTCAGAGAACTGTCAAAGAAATAGCAGAGCTCTCTGCAGGGACACTTTTTGCCGGCTCTAGACGGGTAGAAAATCGGCCGATTTTTTTTTTTAACCATTGATGGTAACGTTGGCCACTTGAACAACCGATTTTTCGTTTTTTAAAAGAAAAATCTGCAGTTTTTCTCCCCATCTATGGCCTGCATTAGAGTAAGGAGGATCAGGGAAATGGAGTGCTACTGGAGCTGTTGCTGAGGACATTCCTCTGTATTGCCAGGCAGGATCACACAAAGGTGGCTCCATGGGACCCTATAAGGGTATGGAGCCTCCTGAAGGCAAGAACTAGATAAGGGGGTATTGAGAGAGAAGCATTTGATAGCGGTCACAGGCTTAAGAAAACCAGTCATGCAAAAATGGCAAGTGCTGCTTTTTTTTTTTTTTTTTTCATTGGGGTTTAACACTTTATTATGTCTTTACAATGTAATTTAATGTTCACATTTTTAATAAAGCAAGCTTTGTGCCCAGCCACCATTTTTAGCAGGTAGGTTTTGCCTACTGTTGATTATAACACAAGTAACCTTCTAAGCATAGGTTCAAAGGGTGCTCCAGGGTCAGGGGTCACAAGGACCTAAACAGGTACTTGTGCCATATGCACTTCAGTATTGTAGTTTGTCATTTTTTTTTAAGGCTCCATGTACACGAGCCTACCGTGACCGCCGGCCATGGGAAAATGCAAATCTCAGCAAAATCGTGGTACTGTGGTTGCCACGATTTGCCTTTTCCAGCGGTCTATACGTTCCTGTCCTGAACAAAATTCTTCCGCTTTCAGGAGAGGGATGTGAAACCTCACCTAAACGTGGCAGCTCCTAAACTCTGCTAAAACCCTGTGTGTACTGTACATGGACACGTGCTTTTATGCAGTTGAGTTTGAGCTTGGGCACAAAAATGCCAAAAACTCTTAAACTTGAGTTTAGGAGCTGCTCGTGTACATGAAGCCTAAGTCTGGTCAACTAAAAAACCTTATTTATGGACACTGAAAATATAAAATAACTCTGCTAAACCAAAACACAACTATTCAGAACATGAACATGCTGTTCAAGAATTCATCGTTCGTAGTATAATGTTTGAGGTCTCTGAGTTAATAAGCAGATGATTGCTTGGTAGGATATCAGCCTGCATGGTGCTACACAAAAATGTGCTGTAGATGCCGATGTGAGGGAGTGCCATTAAGAATTATTGGCACCCCCACGCATCTGCTAAAGTGCAGTTCATTTCTCTGTGGGTCAGGAACGCATGTGATTTCACACATGAGATGTGAACCTAGCCTAAGGAGAGGGGGCTGTGATGTGAAGGATCTGACTTGTAGCACAAACATGCGATTCGGACCTCTGCTGGAAGAAAATTTTACTGACTAGACCTCCATAAATGTTCTATACCTTGATCTAAAGGATATTGAATAGAGATTGCATATTCAGATTGCACGACGTGTGGCCATGTTTTAGTGTAATTTCAAAGGTGTCTTGATTCATTATTATGATTTTATCAGACTTAAATATGTTAGTTTTGTATACTTCTTTTTCTCTAGTTGTTTACATATCTCATTGGATGTGTTTGTTGTAGGAATGGCTTCTGTGGTGATTCAGCTTCCAGGTACAATACAGCTGAAGGGTTTAATTGGTAATAGCAGTATTCCCATCACTTTGTCTGCTGTGCCTCGCACCATCTCTGCAGCAGAACCATCTTCTACCACGTCAGGTATGGTACCCTTTGTGTCTTGCATATCCTCCATTCCTTTTCTTTCATCAGAGTTGTCTATTTTCTTGTTGGCATGCTCTGTTGATGCTGTTCCTCAACTCTCATCACTGGCTTGTGTCTGTTTAACATACCAGTGAAAGTTTATTCTGTATAACTATTCCTACATACAAATATCTTTCACACAACACCTCTATTTGGCTTGTTTTCAGAAAACATGTACTGAGGAAGTATGGAGGCTGCAATTGCTGATTTTTCTTTCTGGAAATAAAGCATCCTAGTTATCATACTGCTCCAATAGTTTCAGTGCTTTGAGTCAGAACAAGTATGCATGTTAGGCGTTTTGACTTCACTTTGACATTACTGACTTGCTTGCTGGTTTCAGGCCAGTGTCTTGGCAGGGACATCCAGGCAGCAAGCATTTTCTGAAGAACAGAAGTGGCATCCTCCTTATTTTTCTTGGTACAAGTTCTCGTAAAAAATTGTGGTTTTAACCATCCTTTAAATTGTGCCTGGAAACTGAAAGGGAATCGGTTACTGAACTGAAGACATTTATTGGCAAAGCCCTTGATAAAAGCTTCCATGATCTTCCTTTTCACTTTTATCAAGCGTTTGCCTTGTATCATGATTCTTCCATTGCTGCAAAGCCACTGGGGCATTTGTTGGTAGCTTCAAGATTGGCCACTTCTCAATTTTCCCCAGCCAAACCCCCAGCTAGATCTAGTCCACCCGTCTGATGAAACCCACTGTCTGAAAATCCCTTCAGGGGTATCCCAGCAGATGGACAAATCCTATGGGTGGGGCTTGTTTCCAGCATTCTGACTACCTTTCTGAAGGGGAGCTGTAGACTTCAGCTACGATACAGGCTGTTGCCCTTCAAAAAAAAAAAAAAAGGTGCCTATATATGTCAAATCCTAAGGACACCATTTCAGCCCTTATTGACAAAGTGTGCAGGTACTTCGAATTCCGAAAAGTATTTTTCATGGTATGAAGTGGATAGTTTACATAATAGGAAGCACTTTGCAGGACAATTTCTGTCCTCCAGTCTGACCTGGATCAACATCTGGCCTTTAGTACCATCAAGGATCAAATATTTTCTGTATCGATTTAGAATGTATTATTTGAACATGTTTTACATCTGCTGTTCTTTCTTTGATGACGCAATAAAAAATGGAAACACAATTTTCTTCCAGAGACCACTTCTCACGCTATTGTGAAGGCCTTAGTGCAGTGTGTCGCTCACTTTGTACCTCCTGTATATGGATCCCTGTGACTCAGTTGCATCCTTACCTCATTCGGTGGTCTTTTTTGTTGTTTGGCTGTTTTAAAAAGAAAAAAAAAACACCCTTTTGAACCTGTTAGAAATGTTCTTCAGTCTATTCTTAACTCGCAAGGTTGCCTTTAGCGTTGCCATCACTTCTGTGAGGTGACTTTCCAAGTTGGTAGCCTTAACCAGTAAAGAACGCTTTTTTATGTGCCTCACAAGGACAAGTCGGTATTGTGGCCCAATGCCCTATTTACCATGGTGGCCCAAATGCCAGAACCCTACTTACCATTGGTGGCTTCTTTTACACCTTAATCAGAACAGTGTTTTACCTTCTTTCTGTCCTGCTCGTAAACTTACCTTCTTTCTGTCCTGCACCTAAACTTACCTTCTTTCTGTCCTGCACCTAAACTTACCTTCTTTCTGTCCTGCACCTAAACTTACCTTCTTTCTGTCCTGCTCCTAAACTTACCTTCTTTCTGTCCTGCACTTAAACTTACCTTCTTTCTGTCCTGCACTTAAACTTACCTTCTTTCTGTCCTGCTCCTAAACTTACCTTCTTTCTGTCCTGCACTTAAACTTACCTTCTTTCTGTCCTGCACCTAAACTTACCTTCTTTCTGTCCTGCTCCTAAACTTACCTTCTTTCTGTCCTGCTCCTAAACTTACCTTCTTTCTGTCCTGCTCCTAAACTTACCTTCTTTCTGTCCTGCACCTAAACTTACCTTCTTTCTGTCCTGCACCTAAACTTACCTTCTTTCTGTCCTGCACCTAAACTTACCTTCTTTCTGTCCTGCACCTAAACTTACCTTCTTTCTGTCCTGCACCTAAACTTACCTTCTTTCTGTCCTGCACCTAAACTTACCTTCTTTCTGTCCTGCACCTAAACTTACCTTCTTTCTGTCCTGCACCTAAACTTACCTTCTTTCTGTCCTGCACTTAAACTTACCTTCTTTTCTTTCTGTCCTGCTCCTAAACATCCTAAGGAGGGTTTTCTCCATTTTCTGGATGTGATTACCAATGTTGGAGTGCTCAGACACAGCTTCCTTTTGTCAGTCCGACTCTTCTTGTTGCACCTGAAAAACAACCTGTTTCTTTTCTCCTGCATGTGAGTCCTCATTCAAGCTTATGACCTCAGGGGCAAGGTCCCCCCTTTTTCTGGTCAAAGCACACATCACTACATCAGTTAGTACTTCATAGACTTTTCAGCATCAAGCATCCTTTGCTCAGATTTGTAAGACTGCCACCTGGTCTTCTGTTTACAAATTTGTTTAGTTTTAGTATTTTCCTGGGCAGATGTTGATGTTGACTTCAGCCATAAAGTTCTTCAGGTGGCATTGTAGGCTCCCTTTATCTGCTATAAGTGGCATTAAACTCAAAACCAAAAATGTATTATAGTGCAGTTTACCAATTTTTATTTGTGTGGTGGCTGCATCCGTTTTTCTTTTCTTTGGCTTTTTTTCCCCTCTGTTTTCACCTGGTGATCTAACCAGTAACATGCCTGTATTAGTGAGACACAGCTCTGGGTGAATGAGCACAGGATGCACAGCAGACGGCAACATTGTCAGTCGGGGGGGAGGGGTTAAGTATATTACCAGATTTGAATACAAAAACAAATAAAAGCCAAACTAATGTAACCATAACATCTAAAGAATTGGGATGCTGCAATATAATGCTTGCTTTTGGGTTTAATACCACTTTAACCTGTTGTCCTTGTGGGCCTATTAGACTTTCTTTTGCTATTTGTAAGCCAGTTGGACTGCTTTGGACATCCCATTGTTTCCAGAATACTTCATTCTGTGTGCTGTAATGTATGATAACGAAAATAGGGTACCTAAATTGTACAGGACACAGGGCTTGTATTCAGAGACCATTGTTATATGCAGGCTACCTTTAGGTGATTAGATACTGGCAAAAACTTGTAAGGGGGGGTTGCCTCTGATGCACACTCTTATAACCCCCACCAACTCTTTTTGCTAGTGTCTTTATGTGATGGAGCTCTTCTTCTTTTAAAGAGGCTTTTTTTTTTTTTCCAGATCTAGATAGTAGTTTCCAGCTCTGTGCCCATCGGTGTTACACCTTGGGGGCCAAGTTCAGACCCAGCTTTGTGGGACTGGACTGTAAGGTTTGCTTCAGGCACTGGATTCTGTGCTAGGCACTCGCCTTATAACCGTAAGTGCAACGTGCAGTTAACCACATGGTGTTGTTCAAGTCCAGATCTATGGTTCCCAGACCCTGAAGACCCCTTCATGGGTATGCCCACCACAATGGGCAAAGCCTGGACTCCTAATAGGCCCAGCAATCTAGATAAGAGAAGAGTTTTCCAGTTATAGAAACTACAGTGCTTGGCACACAATGTGGATATAAAGACACACAGGAATGGAGAGTTATTCCCATGTTGTGATACTGTCTGTTGTAACGGTCTCAAATGTGTTTTGGCACATAAGTAATATCCATTTAATTACATTTTGAAGGTTTTTTTTTTTCGTCTCCTCCAGACTTAGTCTCAGGATGAGGACGTAATTGCAGCATGCCTCCCAGCTGATGTATTTCTGCCCACCATAGCTGCTGAAAATGCCCACAGCACTTTCCTGTACTTGCTGCTTTTTCTAGTCACAACAGAGAAAAGCTACATCAACATGGTCAGTGCATGGGTTATCGCAACACCTTCATTCACTACCCTCAAAACTTCATTTTTTCCGCATCCATTTTGGGAATACCCCACTGGGGATCCCCTCACTTTAGTAATGGTAGATCACAGGCTCAAGGGAGCTGGGACAAAATGGCTGACATGCGTTCTGTGGATGGCCTACAGTAAACTCTGAACACCATTGTTTCCCGATTGCTGTTCTCCTCTGGCTTGAGCTCCCTCTCAGGCAAATGCCTTGCAGCCTGCCTGACAGAAGCAGATTTTTCTGCCACTATTTTTCTACAATTCTTCAGAAAACCTTTAGCACTAAATTTAATTTTAAACTACCAAGCCTAATATACTAATTATTCTTAGTTGGCAACTGACTTTACGAGGGTGTTCAACCCTACACCCAAATAGCCAATTCATTAAAATGTAACCTTTATTTTTATTAAAGTATGTTCCAAACTGTGAATATTAGTTACCTATAGAGTGAGGAAGAAAAGTTCATTATTAAATTAGTAGTCCTAACGCTCTCTTCTAGCATAATATCTGCGATGTGCCAAATATATGTCTCAACATGCACCATCACTATATATGGATGAACTATGGTAGAACAAACTGTTAGATCACGTACCTGTAGGGTATAATGTATATTGTGGTTTGTCAACCACCCACCCTTGAGAAAGTTATCCTCAGGAGATTTCAATAGGTCATGTGATCTATCTTACTACAAATATGTAGCACAGGTACACTATTCCATGAGTCACAAGTCAAGCTTCTAATGGACAAGCCCCATATATCACCAAATCCAATCAAAAATAATTTACTATCTTGAGGAATACCAAAAAAAATTTCTTTTGGAGTGAGAAGTGTATTCAAAAGTAAGTGCTTCCAAGTGACCCAGAAAATCAAAGAACCTCTACATGTTTCGCTCCAACAACCAGAGCTTCGTCAGGATTGTGTGTCCGAAAGATCAAGTGAGCAAAAGTGAGTATCACACGGTGGCAAGAAAGGACACCCATTG